TTTTTTCAGATCAGCTGAAAGCAAAGGGACAGCTTGCTTTTTGATGTAATTAATTATTTACATTTCTTCTGTGCTCCTCTTAAAGTATGTAAATTAAGTTGAAATAAGGGTGAGTTAAAGCCACTCCTCAAGCTAACCTCTCTAATGTCAGAACAGTTCTATCTGGCTGACTCTCTGGACTAGAGCAATGCTCTAGTCTTAAAATGGGCACTGAAAATCAAAACCGCTTTCAGTGATGCAAAACTAAGTATTTTGATAATTCACAGAAAGCATAAAAGAAAATTTAAGGAAAGCAAAAAAACAGCAGAATAGTCAAACAGAAAGGGAATATAATTCACATTTACTTGGTAAAGGGGAAATAGTGCTAGGCTTTTCTTTTTAATAAGGTATATTCGGGTGTAGAATGATTTGTGGTATATTATCAGGATACACGAACCTAAAATTGAGTTCACATTCACATTTGAATTTGGCACTTTGAGCCATCATTTATTTTAGCAAGCCTGCTGCTCTACTGAATGATGTTTAAAGCACACCTGTTATATTTTCTCAGATTCAACAAGAAAGCACATCCATATATTTTGATATAATTAACTCAGTTTTGTCTTTAAAAAAGACACTATAACTTACAGTCTGATGTTCAAAGCGAGGAATGTGGCAAATAAGGATTTATTTCCTTTCATATTCTGAGAAGAAAATAGTTGGAGAAAGAAGCAAGAGGAAAACTGATGTAGAATTTGGAAAACCCAAGTTCAATTCCTGCCTAAAGGATTTGAACCCATGTTTCTATCACTCAGGCAGGTTCCCTCTTCACTAGAGCAGAAAATACTTTTCACTGATATCAACTTTTATTTTGGAGGTCCTCTCAAAGCAATTGAGAGAAAAACATGACAACACCCAAATGGTTAGGACATGCTTTGTAAAGTGCAAAGCCCACATTAAAATCTGCTCTTGTGCTGCAAAGGTTATGAACCAGAGCCTTCAGCTTCCTTCTTGAAAAGTGCCCAAGTCTTAGGTCTCTCCAGTTGATTTGTTGTTTTCCCCAAAAGGGTACTCATGAAAAAATGTCAGAGGTACTGATTTTCAGGAATACCCTTTGGAAATAAAAAAATGAACAAAGTAAATATTTTAAGAAAAAAAATCACCTTTAAACCCAGTTCTTTCCTGTGGCACTGCAATTTACAGACCACAGATCTGTTCCTGAAGGTACTGCAAGTAGCAAAGCTGTCACCGAGATGGACTGAAAATTATTAGGACTTGTGTCTTATTAGGTAATTCACTACAGTTTCTCCTTACATGTTACAAAAACTAAATTACAACTTTACCTTTCACAGACTGATCTACATAATACTATTCTAATCAGTTTCTAATGCACTGGTTCAAAATCAGAAAGGAGCATGAAATCAACTGGATCTTGAGGAAAAGACCCAGGCTGGATACCTGAAATCTTCAAATGTAACTAGAAAAGCAATAAAAGGCTAAGAAGGGAAATACAGATTTAAAACAATGTTGGACTTTGATTCCATTAAAAAGTTTTGTTTACCACATAAAAGGATGTCACTGGCAGTTAATGAAAACACAAGCAGAGAGAGAGAGTCCTAATAAATAAGCACATATTCAAAAAAAGGTACTGCAAAAAGTTGTCAGCAATCATATTATAGAAGCAAACTACAGAAAATAAGGAAGCTTGATGCATCATATATGCTTATATGTCCCTTCCTTTTTGCCACAAAGGAAAATAATCTTGAGTTTCTTTTTAGGCAACAGATTGAAATTTCTCCTTCAAAATAGAAATAAAAAGAACTAGCACTGCAGCACTGTTCCATTTACATATGCTTAGAGTAGTCAGCTGCACATTGGTATTTGTGACATAAATCAGTCTGTAATTAATAAACAATTATTAAAGCTTACATCTTTTTAAAATGTCCTCTATTCTTATTTAATTAATTGTATTTTCACACTGTATGAATACAGCTTAAAAAATCTCCTTTGCATATAGTCAAAGCTATTGTTATGGAAAGCAGATATAAGCCATTTTAATTTGTGAGAAGCAGGAAGGAATTTTACATTTTTTTTTTTTAAATTAACTGTTGGGAGCTAGATCACTGTAAGAGATGGATAAATTACTGCAAATATTTTCACCTAAATTCTTTCTTTTTCTTCAATCATTTCAAACAATACATCTCATTGTCTTTCAATCACAGAATTAAAAGTGAAGGAACAGCTTTCAGAATTGCTTTAAAACAGCCATTCCGAACACTGAAATTATACTTTGTCTTATTCAAAGTGATTAAAACCATTACAAACTAGGTACAAATAATTTAAAAAATATTTGTTTCAAAAGGGACTGGCCTTTTCCAAGATGGGAAGGAGATCTGAAGAGCTTATCCCTTCCTCACTTGAATCTAAATCCAGAAAACTGGATCTGACTCCATGCCAGTTAATACTGGGGATAGGGAGGTCTTGTTTTGTGGAGGTAAAGCATGTCTTCAGAGCATATTTCACGTTCCCTGTGTTCTGCATTCATATGCACACCTCTACGTTCTCCTCTTACATCCCACCATCAGAGCCGCTTTAGAGGGTGCAGACGCCTGGCTTGTGCTTCGCATTTAAATTGTCCAGTAGACAGGCAAAATCCCATCATATATTTCTGACTAAAATGGCAGCTAAAGCAACTCTTTTCTGAGCTTAAACAATGGCTAGGGGACTTTATTCCCTACAAAAGACTGCAATATTAAGGACAAAACCACCATAGATAATCCAACATTTCAGCCAAGATTCATCTTGTGAATACCTCCATTTGCTCCGGTGAATTTAAACTCCTGGTTTAAATACGGAGCAATTTCCAAGATGAAACTATGGAAGCTACAGGTAGGTCTCTTCAAAAAACACTGTGGCTTTCACTCCACTGTACTGAAGCACATTCCCATTCTCTAACATAGGAATAAGGCATATGCATAAGACGAAGCCAGGCAGGACTGCTCAGGAAGGGGCGGGCTGGTTATCATTCTGTCCCCACCATGTGTACTCTGTTTCACCATCAGTACAAGCATGAATTTTTAAAAGGAGCTGTTCCAGTATATTTCATCTTCTCATTCCAAAATTTTCCCCTTTTTTGAGCTCCCCCACCATTTTAACTCTTCCAAGTCAAATGACAGAGTCCTTCTTAGACTATGAAAGTTACAGCTTTTGTTTGCCTTGGTAGTAAGTAAACTTTTATTTATTTATTTATTTTAACTCAGCAGGGAATGTCTTAGTAAGTTCTCCCTGACTGACCAGTAAGATTGCCAACTTGTCCCCTTTTTCCCCAGTTATGGAGGGATGGAGAAGATGAGCTTAGTCTAAATACAGACTGAGGGGTTTCAGCTCATCACCCAGTAGCTCTGCCCATAGCTGCAAAAAAGACGATGGTTCCTCCAAGGAAAATAAACACACAAGGACCCTTTAGAATTAACACCGGCTAAACCAGACAAATATCAAGTGCTTATGACTTCCAGGGCAGTTTTGAGTGATTGAAGAACAAGGAGCAACAACATTCATTTACTAAATAGCTGTGCATGACTGAAGTTGAAGCAGCAAATGCATGGCCTATCACAATTTGATATTGAGTATACCAGCAGGAGGAAAAAAAAAAGTCTTGAAGATCTCTTTTATAGCATTATCATATAGCACTGCCTAATACAGCAGATGGGAGAGGTTCTCAGGTGGACAGTTATAGTGACTTTGGTGTATCCAGTCTGTTAACACGTCTACTTCACACTTTGTCAGTTTGACTTCGATGGTTTCATTAATAATTTTTCTATCTTGGTATTTCCCCCATCCCAAAACTGGTGCTTGAGTGAGAAACATCCTAGTGGGTTAGCAGGTAGTAGCTTTTGAATCGCAAGAATGTGAATCTGTTATTCGCGTGTTTATAGACTGGACTCTTATGTTGGGGGGGTAGTTTTGAAGAAGGTGAAAGGTAATTATTATCCTGTGTATAACTAGCTTCAAGGAGAGAAGTTACTACGGGTAAATTTCTCCTCCCATTATAGTCAGAAGTCAAACTACCACAGATTTCACTGCCGTGGTCAATCATACCTCACTAGAGGACTGGTTTTGCTGAAGTTCATATTCACCTGGATGACACCCTGTTCATGGCTCAAATTCAGGAAGGTACATACGTACAACCTGAGTTCATCATTTTCCTGAAAAATCATAATCTAGGCTCACTGAAGTATGAGGTACAAAAAGTGTGCACAATATAACACAATCTTAGACTTCATTAAGATGAGCAGTGTTAAATACCGCTATTTGTTTCTTATTGTATACATTTCTTTAGTTCAGGATTGATTATTAATGCTATTTTAACAAGCACATTGATGCCAAAAATAAGTCAAAAGGGAAAAAAATATGCAACGCATACTCTAAAGAGGTGCTTTTATATCATAAATATGCCTGCCTGTCTTATACCTTGCGAGAATGTTTTAAAAATAATTAACTGTAACTGTTAAATGATTCCATACTCAAATATGCTATGTATCCATAGCTTTTCTCCATGTCACAACAGAAAGTCAGGTGATAAATGCAGTTAACATTTACGTCAACAATTTCCTTTTTGCCTTTTATTAGTTTTTATACAGTGACCCATATCTCTTCACAGTTGCATGCCCTTTCCAGGGCAGACTAGAAAAATGATTACATGTGGCTACACAACACTTCAGGTTATTCACAAAACAAAACAGCTTATCACAAATAAAGTACAGATCTGTTACAGCCACAGTTAGGCCTTAGATTATAATATATTGCTGCAGTTATACTTTAAAGCAAGATTAAGCTCAAATATTTGGCTCATAATTCATCTGCAGAAAAGCACTGAGTTCACATATTACTATTCAGCTGCTTTTCAGGATGAAGGCTGAAAGCACCAACATGATTCCTGTGCATCACCTTGAGGAGTACAGTAAGAAAAATGTGGTAAGGGGTCTAGTAAGCATGAAGCCATAGTATTTTTCCAAACATACCTGCTAACTGGATGATGCCATGTCTCGCAACATCATAGTAAGGGTGATTGATGTTTAACTCAGGATCCTCGAGTGGTGGAGAAATAAATGTTTCCTCCTGTTCCGACTGTGCATCTTCCGCTTCATCTTTCTGCAGTTCTAAAGGAGCAAGCAAGAATGCTTAAGTGCTAATGAACAAAGAAAAACTTTTGCCTCTGATACATTATTGAAGGGTTGAATTTTAGCTCAGTTTGACAAAAACACATTTATCACCATTTGTGGCAGTTTCAGATCAGTTTCTTGTTCTTTACCCTTTGTCACGTGTGGGAAAGGCAACCCTTTAATACCTCAAAGCTACCTCCACATCCTCCTTAAGATTATTATCTGCTGCGATGCTCACAAAAATCTCAACAATGACTGGACAGCTGGCAAGCTGTGACCTTGCTATTCACGACTGCTGGTATTGTTCATCATTTCCTACACTCCCACAATCTCCTTGTTGTATCCATCTACAGCTTCTTGTCTTTTACTTCACGGTTGTCCAAATGGCAAAGTCAACGTTTCAGTACACTAACAAGTGCGTTGACAGCTACTCCACATTAACACCCCACGTGAACGCTTTCTGAGAGCAGACTCATTACTTTCCATAAAGGCAGCAAAGTCCAAACAAATCTCCATCTCACCTCCCTCAAAATCCACTGTTTCCTTGAAATCCTTTAACCTTCTGAACTTGCAATAGGCAAGGCAGCCAAATGTCCATCCAACATATACTCCAGCTAGAGGCCAAGCAAAGGTGTAAAAGTCTGCTCAAAAGCCCAGTAAAATCAATAGGCATCCTTCCCCCAACTTCAGTAGATTCTGGACTAGATCCTAGAATTAAAATCTACTCTGCACTGAAATGAGCAACACAAGGTCAATCGCTTTTGTTCCAGGGTTTTTTTGGTTTTGTTTTGAGGGTTTTCTTCCAAGTTTTTTCCAAACTGTTATAAGGTTCAAAAAGAGCTGATCCTAAGTACATATCCAAAAGAACACAAATTCTGGGATAATTACTGTCACTAATGTTTTTACACCATTCAGACGAATGTTTTCTAAAAACTGATGGGAATAACATTAAATTGACACACAAACACACAAGTGTCTTGGTGGCTTAAGAGAAGAAAAGGCACACGTAAAGAGAAAAATTAACCTTTTTATAAGGTGCACTACCAGCTGTACATCATCCATCTCTTTTTATCATGCAAGTTTTAGTAAGGTAGAATTAACAGTTCTATCTATAACATTATTAGTTTCACTTTAAAAAGTACTTCAAGAATATTTTGCCTTCCATCTGCATATTTCATATGCCTTGACCACCACGCAAGACACACTAGGGCAGAGAGAATATATTAAGTATTGATTTCAGCCAGATTTATGTGCCAGTAGCTAATAAGTGTTAGAGAAAAACTCTTACTAAGTATTTTGGAATGCTTTCCACTCACAGTTTCTCAGTATCTTTCTATCCTATAAACAGCCACATGAAAGCTTTATGGTCTCATTTTTATTTTTAACGTAATTTGTACCAAAAATGCATTTCACAAGGATGAAAAATGCCACTAGCGGCTGAGCTTCTCAAAGACAAAGAGGAGTCAGGAACATGTGTACTAGTTTTACATTTCTTTATGTCTGCATTCACATTAAAACCTCCTCAGAAAATAAATCAGCAGTCCTATAGGAAAAAAAAAATCTGCCTTTAGAAATACACCATTAGAGTCCTCTTCATACACACAAAAAAGTTTACATTCTTATTATCATCTCCAAAATGTGTATATTTTCTACCCTTTAAAAGTGTATCACATATAAAAAGCTACACTAACCTTAACTGGAAAAGTATTCTTTCACTTTAAAGAATGTTTTTGTACCAAGAGCTGGGAAGAATAATACAAACAAATGCAGTATATGAATTTCACATTTTTTTCCTCTTTTAAATATTTATGTCATGTTAAAACTCAGAACAAGGAAAACACTATTTTGTTTATTAGGGGTTTTTTTCATGTCTGAGCACTGTAACCACCTAAAGTAACAAAAAGTTGCAAAGGGGAGAGAGAAAAAGAAATAGAAAATGCTAGTCCATGGGGATGTAAAGCAGGAGCTGGGAACCATTCACCATAATCCACTGAAACTTAACAGGCTTTATTAAAAGTGAAATGTATATTCAAGTTAAACACAACAGAAATAACCAATATTAACTACACCCTTTGGTACAGAGAGGCAGAAGCTAACTCCTTCTGTAAAAAATTATTTTGTACTATGCATAAAAATAGACAGGTTTCCAAAAAGCAGGGGTAAGGATTTGTAACAAAGTACAGATATCAAGCTATCTGGCTTTGAGATGTGCCGAAGAACTAGAGAAGCAAAGTAAATATGCATGCCCATTTGTACTGCACTTATTCACAGGGACTAAAGAAGTCCCAACAGTAATCATAACTACTGAAAAGCTAGTTAATCCTAGCCTAGTAAGATAATTCTTTGTATATTCTTTTCCTTTTCCTTTTTTTTTTTTGTTTTTTAATGTGTGAGCAAGAGGACTGGAGCTCAAGAGGTGCTTTGTAATAAACACAAATGAAAAAGAAGATTCATTGTTCCAAACTGAAGGAGACCTCAGCTCCATTTTTCTCCTGCAAATGATAGAGGAGTTTATTGCCCTGCTCCATGAGCTATAGCATAGGATCATCTGTTACTACTCACACTGTTATCAGTGTTCAACCCAGGCTTGGAGACAACACGAGAGGCCTGATCCAGAGCTTGCCAAGGCTGAGGGGAAAATTGCTTTCAGTGGGATTTTGAATCAGGCCCTAGGAGTAAAAAGGCCAGCCTGCTGCTGCTGAAAGTCATGATGACATGGAGAAATCAGAGCTAAGGTGAGGGTCAGGGAAAGGGAGACTGAGGTGGTGGGGGAAGAAAAAAAAGGAAAAAAAAAGCCCCAGAAGACTCTTGCTCTGGAGTTCAGCCTGGCATCCTCAAAAACTCAAGGGAAAAAAAACGTAACACTTGATCTTTCAAAATGATGAGGCCCCTAATGCCATGGTCATACTGCTCAGCTCGAGTAACATCTTTGGAGATAACATGCAATACAGCAATCTCTATGCTCATTCAATACTTGTCTGTTTGGAGTAATGACTCCCATTTGTGCCACAATATGTGATGACGGTGTATATTCCAATAGCCTAGAATTGCACTAGGAACATCCACCAATAATTCATAAAAGCTGCATGTATTAAAGTAACCTTCAACCCTAATGGCTTTAATAGGGTACACATCAGTACAGTGGCTGTAACTCATGTTGGATTGCTCCAAGAAGTATTACAGAATGTTGGTGAAGCCTTTCACTTACTGAAGATGCTCTATTAAATCACCTGTAACTCTACACAGATGCCATTTGAAGTATAATAAAAAACATTTACCTATTTCAGCTAACTTCTCATAGTCAATCTCAGACATGTTTCCCCTTAGGAACAAGTCTATGCAGTTCTTGCTAACTGATTCTTGCAGGAAGAAATGGTCCTTGGGTCAATCCTACAAAAATAAACAAAAGTAGCTGTCATCACAATGTGGCATATTTTACACACTATACAGATATAAAAAGAAAACAATCACCACCCCCATACCCCAAATCCTACTGCCCAATTATTTTTGAGGAACCAGCTCATCTGTATTTGGGCACCATTTTCTTACAACACAGAGTACTATAGAAGTACTTTAAAACAGCGGTCCAAAAAAGAAAAACTATGTACAATAACAAGATTTCAACAAACTGATCTGGTTTTATTGGGGGGGTGCCGTTCTTTTTAAAAATACTTACATATTACACATTTTTAATGATAAACATCAGAATTGCAGATTAATTCACTTCCAAAAACAACATACAACTTAATTTTTTCTTGATTTTATTTCTCTGATGAAGAAGATATATATTCCATACCCTCACACCGAAGTCACTTATTCTATAGCAGTTTTAAGTTTTATTACAGGAAACATTTTATACCACACATTTCACATAAAAGAGCTTCGTGAAAATTTCAAGTGAGCATTAACACATAAAAAACTGAAAAAACATTACTTCCTGTGTGTAATCACTGCTTTTTGTCAAACACTCTGTGGAGTGCTTTGTAAGCAGAATACCAAGTAACACACCCAAAGTGAGCATCAGGAGCAAAGAATACAATTTAGAAGATCTGTTTCCCCAAGCAGCTGCCCCAATTAAAAATTGGCTGTACTTCCCTTCAATTAAAGGAACTTCCCTTCAGGTACCTTAAAGGTACTTCCCTTCAATTAAAAACCCAGACTCAGGTGTGGAGGTGAGAAAGGAATTGAGCTTTTCATACTCTCCTTTTAACTTAATTTAAACCCCCTACTTTATACCATGTTAAATAAAAAGAAAACAGGCACGTTTATGGCTTGGTTGTTGAGAAAAGGCATATACAAGCATGTTGTTCTCCTCTGCCAAGAAGTTAGATATTGTACTGCACTAAAAAAGCACTGAAACTGGGAAATTATTTTGGACCAAAACCAAACAAGACCAGACAGTCTGCCTGCTTGCTGCTGCCCACCCTGCATGTCCCAAAGCTTAAGTAGGTTAAACAGGTTTATTCCAGACCCACAAATCTGAAAGCTAGAAACCCCCCTTTTTTTTTTTTTTTTTTAAACCAGAGAAGGGATATACAAGTAGTTTTCTAGAAATAAAATGCACATCAACAAAGCAAATAAACATCTGCTTAATTATAAGCATATGCTTACCCATTTTGCTGAGGAGGGATTAGTCATTAGAGTGAGCACAGTCACTACATGTGTGAACTAGAGCCGGGCTCTAACCGGCTAATGCAAAGCCTATCCTTTGGGTTTTGGTTTATACAGGCAAAACAAATTTGCATCCTAGTATATGACTACAGCAGCTCCCAGGTACTACAGTAAAACAAGTACCTGCTAACCATCATAATATTTAGAAGAGCTTCTGATGGCTAATGAAGGTTTTCCATAAATTTTCAAAACATTTCATAGATCTTATACTACTGTAATAGTAATTATCACCAAATAGTAATTATCATGCATTTCCACAACTTGCTGCACTGCAGACAAAATATTAACATGGTTCTACCACTTCGGAGATTTTCAAACACTTACCAACTATTTTATAACACTTATCAACTATGTTCTTGTTGAAAATAATTATCTCCATTTACAGGAAACCCTCAATTTAAAAGCACATACACAGGGAAAAGTCCCATTAAGCTTAAAAGAGAAAATTATGCCATTTCTCACTGAGCAACAATTTTCTTAAAAAAAAATGAAAGCAATTCTGGGCCAGATATATTTCAGTTCATGTTAATTTTACCACATGGTATTCAAAATTATAATTCCATTGTTGTTTTTAAAATATGATGCAAAAAAAATACTTAGTGATTGATATTCCAACCAGTAATTAATTTGTTTATTATTATTCTGAGTGGTATTTAGACATTTCTAAAATTAACAATTAGCAACTAGTGTGGTAATGCATGTTTTTTTAGCAACTAACTTGTGGCATTTGTAGATGATTTCGTAATTGACGTAGTTTGCTCACAAGTACTTGGAATATTATGTGTACCTGTGATGGTCAGGAGTAAATGGAATATCATGCGTACCTGTGATGGTCAGGAGTAAATGGTATGTAAGTATCTACTTCAAATAAACAAAATATAAAAACGTTTTTGAAGCAAAGTGTAGTTGCAAAAAAAGGAAAGCTGACTCTTTCTATCTTATCTGAACAATTTCCTCCCAACTTTTTTTCCTAAACAAAATGTTTGCATTTTGTAGGAATGTAATGATACCGAGAAGTTTTCAAGGGGCTCTGAATTTAACCTACAGCTCACACTCGTATTCACACCTCTCAGCCTCCAACTCCACCGAATATTTCAAGCAGGCCTTTCTGCTCTTTGCTGAAGCTGGAACTTGACCACAATAAGCTCTCTGTGACTTATTCTCCTGTTATGTTTTTCAATTTAGTCTTCATAGACTACCACCTGCATTCAGCCAAACTTTCAGAAAGCCAATGTTCAATGTATCTGATCTTCACAGACTTCATCCCAGCCAAATATTTCCCAAAGCTCTAACAAGGAAATGGGGCACTACCTTCCTTCTAAAGTACCTATTTACACCAGGCCTTTTCATCCTATTGAATTTTAACCGTAAATCATAAATAAAATCATAAGTCATAAAATCATAAGTCATAAATAAAATCATAAGTCATAAAAACTAGGCTATATCTTTGACATTAGAATGCTTTTCAGATGATGTGAGTAATGAAAGTCTCAAAGAATTGATGGAACAGGAAAAAAAAGCCATCTCCCTGAGCCCCCACTTGAAGAAAAAAAAAGGATACAAAGAAGATACAATCCTTCTGCTGCATAGCATTGAATAAAAACCAGTTTCTCCTTCATACTAATTGCTAACGCTATAGTTAGAAGTAATGGCTCAATCTAAAGAGGACAGATTTAAGTCTCTCTCAAAACCTGCTGAAAAACATCTGGCTTTTGAGCACCAAACTTACTGTACAAGTGAGAGCAACTATGATAGCCTTAAAACATTTGCAAACATTTAACACACAAAGTTACTAGGAAGCTCGAAATAATTTAGACAGAATCAAAGAAGAAGGGAAATGGGGAAGAAACCATCTGCCTGGTTTTCAGCTTACTGATCCCTTGGGGCAGCAATTAGAAAGTTTCCAGTTACAAGACAAATTTACCGTAGCACCCTCGGAAATTGATTTCCTGTTGACCGCAGCATTCTCTGTTCCTAGGAGATAACATAATCTCCTTAACAGCGTTCCATGTCACGTATCACCGTTTCTAGTAAACTGCCAGATTTAGTGCCTTCCCCTACCTCACCCTGCCAAAAAGGCAGTAAAAAAAGCCCCGAAAAGAGCCAAACTACAAACCTTTCATCAATAATAGAAATTTGGAAGTATTTTACAAAATACCACATCCTATATCCCTCCACAGGCAAGGTTATTACTTACTGACATCCCTAAAAGAGCATTACTTTATCGAAAATGAAGGCAGTCACGCACGCAGAACTGCTTGATAATGAACTCGCATCTACGGCTAGTCCAAACAAAGGCGAGGGATTCCTCCCAACATTTGTCAAGGCGCAGACATCTTTGATGCCTATTCTTTTTGTTCACTCAGCTGTCAGAGATGTTCTTCTTCAAATTTAAATAGTGTGGTTTCTCTTTTTTTTTTTCCCCTGATGTTCCTGCCTTCCACTGATATTCTTTGTTACTTTTAAAAGGTGTGACACAGCTCACCATGTAACATCAGCCTGCAATTTACATTTTGATAGGATGAGAATTCTGTGTACACCCACCACTTTTCCTGCGAGAGCTGGTGCCTTCCTAGCATCATGATGGTGGGCAACGCACCGCCGCTGCTGCACAGAGAGAGGAGATCTGGTACAGCCCTGCTTGCTGCTGTACCTTCGCCCAACACCAAGGGATGAAGTAAGAGGGAGCCGATAACCTATAGCCACACTCTCTGTTATATCTGACAGCAGCCTGCATCTTCTGGAGAATATACAGGGCCCTAAAGTCAGGCCTATACTCTGCGACAGAGATGCGTAGATGTGCAATGTAAACGCCCAGCTGCACCTACCATGCTGACCAGATGAGAAATGGGAAAAGCAAAAAAAAAGAGACGGATGGATGAAACTGTTCTGAAAGTAAAGGGGGTCTCCTGTTTGCTGCAGTGACTTCTCCTTCCACACTGAGAGCCAATACAGATTCACCCTACAGCCTGGACTCCCGTACTTTGCGAGGATGCCAGCTGCATAACGAGGCTTTGCACGCGGCAAGCTAAGCTGCGCGGCTCCACCTCCAGTTTTGCACAGAACTGAAATACCCTTTTCAAAATGAAAATACTGTGAAGCCTGGAAAAGTAAATACTCTAGTTCCACACATCAATATTGATGAGAAGTGTTATTGAACCCTGAAATTCAGGAAAATTTAAACAGCTTCAATTTTATTAAATTTTCCATTTGGGCTCTAATCCCAAATTAATTTTACTACTGTAATAAGTTCCACTGATTCTGGTGCAGTAAAGATAAATATACACAAATTCCTAGAACTGGTCATACTTCTCTGCAATGTCAAAATATTTTTAAGCAAACTTTCCATGAAAAATTCATTTTCAAAGGAAAAAAATAATTCAGCAAATTGAAAAAGAAAAAAAGAATTTGAAGGGTGATGATACACAGGTTGGTAAGTTAATATTTACAATTAGAAAATCATTATTTTGAAAAGTTCAATGCAAGTTTACAATAAGTTATCCAACTATGTATGGATATTGCAATCAAGTTTAAACGCATAATCACTATTTTTAATTGCATCTATATAAATTGATTCCCGTATCACTTAATACGCAAAAATGTCATGCTACAATTTAAAGCAAAGTATTAGAAATATTTTTGCA